TTATTCAGGCCCCTACATTAGGGTTCTTCAGGCGCTAGAGCCCGGCCTACTTCTCGGGGACGCCAAGGCCTGGCGCCACGCCAAGGAGCGCTGGCCGGGGGCGGCCCTGGGGAGCTCGGCGGAGCCGGGGTCCCTTGAAGGGGTTCAGGGGTTTACGGGTTTANNTTTGGGCTTTAGGGTTTAGGGGTTTTGGGCTTTAGTGTTTAGGGTTTAGGGGTTTAGGGGTTTAGGGTACAGAGTTTAGGGTTTAGGGTTTAGGGTTTAGGGTTTAGGGCCTAGGCTTAGGGTACAGAGTTTAGGGTTTAGGGTTTAGGGTCTAGGGTTTAGGGTTTAGGGCCTGGGCTTTAGGGTACAGAGTTTAGGGTTTAGGGTTTCGGCTTTAGGGTACAGAGTTTAGGGTTTAGGGTTTAGGCTTTAGGGTACAGAGTTTAGGGTTTAGGGTGTAATATCAGGATGCTACAAGCAGGTTTCTATAAGGGTTCTATACGGGTACTAAGAAGGCTCTCTATAAGGGGTACTGTATGAAGGTACTGCAAGCAGAAGGGGATAAGGGGTCCAAAACGGGGAAGAGTGCTTTAAGGCGACGGTTTATCGGCTCAGGCTTGGACAGTGTTTTAGAGGGCTCGGGGTTTTGGGTTCAAAGGTGTTTTTGGGGGTTGGTACGGCTTCAGGTTTTGTGGGATTTAGGGCCTGACAATAAGACCCTAAACCCCAAAACCCTAAACCCTAAACCCCCCAAACCCTGAACCCTAAACCCAACTCCTAATAGAGCTTTCGGGTTTAGGGCCTGGGGTCTGAGGAGCTTTGGGCTCAGGGCCTGACGGGTTTCATTAAAGATGGGGACTTTGGTTTACGGTTTAGCTTTGGGGTTCCAGATTTTTTTATACAGTGAAGGGGTGATTCCAGGATTCCCGTCTTTCACGCACAGCTCGTGTTCCCACTGTCTGAGAGAGTATCGCGTGTAGGCTTTAGCATGTCTAGAAGCCTCATCGTTAAGGCCTCAAAACTGAGCCCTGTAAAGAATCTTAGGGTTTAGGGCTTAGGGTTTAGGGGTTTAGGGCTTAGGGTTTAGGGGTTTAGGGTTTAGGGTTTAGGGTTTCTTTGTAGAAGCCGTATTGTGGTCGGGAGGTTTCGACCTTGACCTCCGTTGCATCCTCAACCTGGCATCTTGCACTGAGGCCGTTTCTGCAACCCATGCGGATCGTGCCCCTTGCCGTCGTTGGTGTGTTTGGAGTCATTGCGCTAAGCAAGTGGGGTTTACACAGGTTACTCAGTTCCCTGGTCCACTGTTGGACAGCTAACACCATCACCGTACACCCTAAACCCTAAACTCCAAGCATGAACCCTAAACCCTAAACCCCAACCCCTAACCCTCAACCCTGAACCCTAAACCCTAAAACCCTACACCCTAAACCCTGAACCTGATCCTGGCTTGGGATTGTGTTGGGAAGCCCTTGGGCCCGGTCCGGTGGCCCTGAGAGGTACGTCCAGTAGTGGAGACCGGCTGGGAGAACACTGTCATTATCAGGCTGGCGATCGGTTTGAGGGCTTAGGGTTTAGGGTTTAGGGATTACGGTTTAGGGTTTAGGGATTAGGGTTTAGGGTTTAGGGGTTAGGGTTTTAATCTCTAAACCCTAAACCCAAACCCCTGTCGTTTCTTGCTTTCAGATTTCTCCGGGCTGCTCGTGCAGAGGCATGCTTTCGACATGACCCGTCATCTCTATATTGCCAGGATCAAATCCGCTGCGAGTAAGAGGAATTAGCATTGTCTGTGTAATGGTTGTTAATACCATCTTTATGAAAACGCTGTGTCACATGACCATGAGTGTTTTCTTGTATCATGTTCGCGATTTTTTGGTGAGTGCTGCTGCCGCTACTACGACGAAGCCTGCTACTAGTACTGCTGCTGCTGCTGCTGCTGCTGCTACTACTGCTCTACTACTGCTGCTACTGCTACTACTACCACTACTACCACTACTACCACTACTAGCTGCTACCGCTCCTACCGCTACTACCGCTACTACCACCAGTACCACTACTACTACTACTACTACTACTACTACTACCACCACCACCACCACCACCACCACCACCACTACTACTCCTACTACTGCTGCTGCTGCTACTACTACTACTGCAGCTACTGCTGATACTACTGGTTCTACTGCTACTGCCTATGCTACTACTACTACTACTACTACTACTACTGCTGCTACTACTACTGCTACTACTACTCCTGCTGTTGCTGCTACTACTACTACTTCTACTGCTACTACTGCTGATACTACTGGTTTTACTGCTACTGCTACTGCTACTGCTACTGCTACTGCTACTGCTACTGCTACTGCTACTGCTACTGCTACTGCTACTGCTACTACTGTCACTGAGATGGTTATTGTCTTTGATATCGCTAGGATGTTGCTAAGCCTATTGCTAAGGGACCAGTTGCAGGGTCAAGGGCAAAAGCGTTGGAGTATAAGGTTTGGGGTTAAGACGGTTAAGAGTTTTGGGGTATAGGCATTGTGATCAAGTGGCATTTGCAGTTTTTCTGTGGTCGCTGATGCCCTTGAGATGGGCTATGCTGGAGCTGTAGGCCTGTTTTGGGGCCATCCAATCGTCGTATTGTCCTGTCCACCCTTCGCTTTCCTCAGGAAGCTTCTTGTTAAGGGTTCTATAAGGGCTCCTTTAAAGGGATCTTAAAGGCTTCTACAAGGGTTCCTTTAAAAGGATGGTTGTGCTGCTCCCTCCATGACGAACCTAGTCTCCCATCCTAAGCTCCAAGCCTGCAACCCTTAAGCTTATAGAAGCCTAAGAGATCCCTGTGAAGGAACCCTGAAAGAACGCTAATCCTTATAGATCCCCTTAAAGGAACCCTTATAGAACCCGTATAGATCCCTTTTAAAGGAACCCTTACAGAACCCTTATAGATCTCTTTAAAGGAACCCTTATAGAACCCTTTAAGGACTCTCGCCGACGTGGACCTTGTGGAGGCTGCGCAGCGCGCCGCCACGAGCGACTCGCCTCAGCCGGGCTTCTCAGGGTTGTCGGGGCTCAGGGTTTAGGGTTGAGGGTATTCGGGTATCAGGGTTTAGGGTTTAGGGTTGTGGGGGGTGGTGGGGTTTAGGGGGATGGTTCGTCCAGCGCCAGCTGAGTGTTTTGCTTTGACACTTAGCTTGTGATCCTTCAGCCCGTTACTGGGTCAGAAGATGGTACGGAACAGTGCGATGCAGGAGGCCTAGTGTCCTGTGCAAGGCCAAGCTTTGCACTCCACCCACCCTGAGATGGTCTCATGAATCATCCTTGGCCAATGATTGCAGATGCGACAGGCGTTTTCAATCGAACAGGCGTGTTGACATGTGTTGATTCCGTCTTGTGATTCAGCTACCCATAGGCCCCATAGTAGTTCCTTTTTGAGATTATCTCATAGGGTCCTAAATATAAGCCACAAAAAGGAACTACAATGGGGCCTATGGGTAGCCAGACTGCGAAACTGCAGTAGCAAGCCTGCCGTCCACGTGCCACTGCAGGGCCGAAGAAACGAATGCAGGCGTCTGGCCTGGAGGCGCGCTCTGTTGTGATCACTATGCAGCTGGGGGCCAGCTTCAAGTTTTTTTGCTTTGTAACCCATTTCTGTCGGGGTCTTGGGATTAAAGCTCCAGGACTGCAACCGGATTACCCCCCAAACCTCCGCAGGCTTCCGCTCTGGGTGGAATGCCTGGAGATTTCGGCCCGTCGCGGCCTTTCGAAGCTACCACCACTACCACTACTACTACCACCAC